TCAGTTATCACCAATACCTGTAATACCATCTCTGGTTTCTGCTTAGACAAACATCTTTCCGTAGAAGAACATTTCAAGACGATGCTTTGAAATCCAAGACAAAGGGTTCAGAAGTGGTCAAAACTACACCAGAACTAAGGGCCTTTGATCTCAGCAAACTCCGAGGCTGTGTTACTTCAGCGAAGCAGCAGCTCATCGGACGCTACTGCTGTTCGGTGCTGTCGCGTCAGTTCCAACTCACAGAGTCCCCGTGTCCAGCAGAACGGGACCCCGCCCGGGCCTGGACCGCCCCCACAGTCACAGCTGCGCGTGAGCTCACTGGTATAGCCACTGTCAGGACCTCTCACGGGAGGCCTTCTTCTTTTTCGCTGACCCTCTACTACATGCTCTTACACAGCAAGTAAACATGAGCATCTTGAGGTTTTGGGTATGTCTCTTGTAACATCTTAACCACCAAATGATGCTTTGTAAATAGTGCTGTGACGAACATGAGTGTACGTGTTTTTGTCACGGCTCTCACTTCTTTACGACATACACCTAGTAATGGGATGGCTGGGTCAAATGGTATATCTATTTCCAACTTTTAAGGACTCGCCATACTGCTTTCCACAGTGGTTGGACCATTTTACAGTCCCACCAGCAGTGTATGAGAGTCCCAATCTCTCCACATCCTCACCAGCATTTGTTATTTTCAGTCTTGCTGAACTTTGCTGCTAGTGCTGGGGCAACAACCAAATGCTGTTTTAATGAAGTGCTAGCTATAGCCCAGGGATCAACCTTGCTCACTCACACACGTGCTACAGACTTGTAACTACAGACTTGTAACTACAACTACACTGTGCTCCTTCGGTCACTTCCGACAGAGCCGCTTGCACGATCAGTAATACCTAGAAACGACCTGCTGAGAAAGAAGACTCGTGGCTGCCTGGACTGCTCACAGTGGCATAGCCACATTCCTATTTCTGTCATGTTGACATTGACACATGTTAACAAAGCCTTGATAACGGGGGAGGCAACATAATTACCTGGCTTGGGGCAAACCATAGCTGGTCCCTACTCCAACCCGAGGTAAGCTGTACACGACCTTTTTAACTGTTGCTTGGTCAGGGAAATTGAACATGACCGAGGCTGTGGTAAAAAGAAAAAAACAGATTTAGAAAACCACAGGAGAGCTGAGTATCATCTCAGAAATGACTGTCAAACGTCATTATCATTGGTTCATAAAGGGCAGGCATCTCCTCGGGAAATCAGCGTTCTGTTCACCCACTCCGCCCCAGCCAACCATCTCGGCACCACATTACACAGTTATCACGATAATCAAGAGTCTATCATCTGACCATTTTGTGCACTAACAATTATGTAGGGAGCTCTGGTGGCATAGTGCCTAAGGCACTTGATTGCTAACCAGAAGGCTGGCGGTTCAAACCCACCAGCCACTCCTCGGAAGGAAGATGGGGCAATCTACTTCCATAGTGATACTGCCTCGGAAACCCAGGGAGGGGTCGCTATGAGTCGGTCCAACTCGACGGCACATAACAACAACAACAACAACAACAACGATCATGTAATGATTATGCCCAGCAGTAATGAATGCCCAGGTGTGAGGCGAGAGTGACTGGCTGGAATGGTTAAGATTATGTACCAGCTTGGCTGGGCCACGGTTCTCAATGGTTTGCCAGTTACGTAATGAGGTAGGCGAGAAGTTATGTAGTGATGCAATTTGGCAGTTATGTGATGATGCAGTTTGTCAGTTATGTACTGATGTAATTTGGCAGTTATGTGATGATGCAATTTGGCAGTTATGTGATGATGCAATTTGGCAGTTATGTGATGATGCAATTTGGCAGTTATGTGATGATGTAGTCACCCTGCATTTTGGAATCTAATGTGGTCATCCTCCATTTTCACATAATGCCAATTTTCATATAACGACATGGTCTCTGGAACCTAACCATGTTGGTAAGTGAGGAGTGGGTGTATAATATTATCCATGAGAAACATAAGGCTAACATTTTCAAACAAACTCTTCTTTTTTTTTTTAATTTCCTCCAGTGAGGGGAATCAAAGAGAAACACAGATGGGAAAAATCAAGACAGTATCATGCCATGTAAGAAGTAACACCTCAGTCTGAGCACATTTTCTTTCAAGGCATTTAAGGGGACTTACTCCGGTTTGCCATAAACACTTCCAAAGCAGTGTTCTGTAGGAGATAGCGTCTGGAAAACACGGCTCGTATCTCGCTGAACATCCATTTTCCGTGGAGTCCCTCGGTGTACGCGAGAACCTAAAAGAAACAGCAGAGAGGGAAGTGTCAATCACGAGACAGTGCTCCGAAAGTCCCGCTCACGGCGCTGTGTCCAATCCAGTCAATTGGGCCCATCGCCCCGAATCTGCCATTTACCATGACACTGTCAGTCACCTGACGCTGTAGCCTCGCAGGTGCTCTCCTACATATTCATGGTTCGTTCACCAGTAAATGAGGGCACAGACTAGCTCTCTGTCCAAGGTGACCCGCTGACTTAAACTAGAAAGCGCATTGTAACTTTTAGGTCTTGTGTGGACTTCGTTGGGCCAGGTGACCGTGACAGAAACTGCGGGCCATTTCCAGTAACCCTTCTTGCCCCGCTTTCCTGCCCCCTGGAGTCCCAGTTATCCTCAGAGTACGTGAATGTGGTCAACCTCAGGTAATGCATCATGACTGGGCCGTGCCGGGGGTCAGCGACCTTTTCTATGAGACACCAGATAATAACGACCTTTAGGCTCTGGGCCAAATGGTCCCTGCACTCAGGTTTGTCACCGCAGCATGAAAGCACTGGCAGGAAATACACACATGAACGCACATGGCTGGGCTCCCATAAAACTTGATGTATAACAGGGACACGCAAATTTGGCCCAAGGCTGCCACAGTCTGGCTGACCCACACCAAAGGTGGTTGCTGTTTTCCCAGGGTTCCTTGCAACTGGCGGAAAGAGGGAATTTGACTGGCTCTGCCTCATGAGAACGAAACCTCATTCAGCCGGGGCTGCTTCCAGAGGCTGATGCCATGAGTCCCAAGGAGCGGGCATAGTCCTTTCCTTTCTTGCTTGAACAGAGATGTGGGGGCGGAAGCAGCAGTGGCCATGGTGTAGTCATGAGGGGAAGGGAAGGCCAAGGCCGTCGCCACCAGGCCGGCCCCGAACAAGGCAAAAGCCTCAGCTGTTGGAACGTGTCGTTGCGTGAGAAAGAAAATGCTACTTGATGAAGCCAGTCCGGTCAGGCCTACAGTGAGCGTATTCCCCGCTGGTACACCAGTACACAGGAAGACGAGAGACGCAGCAGCCACGTGGGCTGGCACACGCTGTCGTCTCCTGCACTCCCGTGGGCTCTGACGGCGGGGACGCTGGTGATGGAGCGCCACGTCTGCGGTGGTTCACAACCTTTGGAAACAAGTCATGAAGCCCTGGCCCATTCCTGACTCTACACTAACTGGAGAGTCTTTGGGATTTTATTTTTGAAAATTTCACTTTAGGACCTCTGGTGGCGTAGGGCCTAAGGCACTTGACTGCTAACCAGAAGGCTGGTGGTTCAAACCCACCAGCCACTCCTCGGAAGGAAGGTTGGGCAATCTACTTCCATAGTGATACCACCTCGGAAACCCAAGGAGGGGTTGCTATGAGTCAGATCCAACTCCGTGACAGTGGTGGCATTTGCGTTGCAACCTTTTACTTTGGTTTTTCTTTCCCTAGCTATTGGAAAGTTTTCGACCTGTATTTAAATCCTGAAATACTGTGGAACCAGTCCGGCTCTCAGTGAAATCTTTGCACTGCTCTTCACCAGCATTGGGACCTCAGAAAAATGAAGTCCACCTGATTTCTGTCATCTGAGAACAGGGATAAGAGTACCTATAACTAGCTCGCTTACACAGAGACAAGGGTAACGGACATGACACTAGTTATCGTTTAAATTCTGCTCATAGATGTCTAGGTCCCTGCTGGTGAGTGTGGTGTGACACACGTATAAGCGCAGACTCCCTTCTGTGCCCTCCACAGGACAGTGACCGTGGCTTGCCACCGTTTCTATCTGCACACTCTTGACTGAGTGCAACGACTTCCAGAGTAGATTTCCACAGGTCAGTAGGGTGTAAAAGGCAGAGGGAGCGGGCACGGGGTGCTGCCCTTTTATTCTGTCAAGCAGGGAAAACCTTAAGACAAAGAAGAAGACCACAAGAACAAAAACCGCCTCCCCTTATGACACTATTCTTCCAAAATAAAAATTCCAAGGCTTCCGAAACATGAGAGTAAGCTGAGTCCTGTCTCAGGACAGAGCTAGTGTTGCCATGAACAGATGTGAGCGTCTCTCTCCCAGCAGTGGTATGCCAGAGGCTGTGAGGACACAGCTGTCCGTCAGGCTGCACGTCTCACACACACACCTCTGTCTGTCTGTCTGCATGTCTCACGTACGTACATACACATGCTAATTGTTCGTCCATCTGCGCGTCTCACATACACACCTCTGTGCGCTGGTCTGCACATCTCACATATGTACATACCACATGGTAATTGTGACTTGTTTTTCTCTCTGGGGACCACAGTGTCATAGACCCCAGATCCAGCTGTTTTTGCACGAAGCGTGTTATCAGTTCAGGAGAGCAGGCAGGTGAGGCACAACCACACACACGTCCATCGGACTGCTCTGCTGCTCTCTGTCCAACTGTCTAACAAAACACTCAAGATGAACCGTGTTATCAGTTCACTGTCTTCCAGCTCCAAACTCCCTTCATTACCTGCTGCGTAAAAACGAGTATGGGCGCCAGGCTTGATAACCCAGAGACCAGAGGAGCCAGACGGAGCCCGGCTCCCACCGCTGACTGCTCTGAAAGGGACCACAGTAGGAGGTCCTGGATGGAGTGGGGGAAAAAAGGTGCAACAAAATGCAAAATCATGAGAAGGACCAACCTTTCTGGTCCAACAGAGACTGCCGGAACCCCCGGGACTCGCCCTCAGTTGCCCTTCAGGCTCAGAGCTGAACTCCCTGCAAGGGCTCACCTTTCAGCCAAGGGACAGACAGGCCTGTGAGGTGAACGATGACACCTGGGAGGTGCCACTCCTTACAACAGTCAACCAGACGGGTTCCGAAGGGCAGCGTTCGCCCAGGGAGAAAGCTCGGAAGGCAGAGAGGGACAGGAAAGAAGGGGGACTAGAAACGGGGAACAAGGAGGAAGTGGGGGAGAGCCGTTACACGGTGGGGGTTGCAATGAACGTCCCAAAATGTACGTGGATCATTGAACGGAAAACCAACGTGCTCCGGAGAGTTTCACCCAAACCACAGTGAGAAGGTGAAACAACAGAACAGAAGGATCCGGGCCCTTTGGACCCTCTTCCTCTGCTAGCGGTCATGCCAGTGGGGGACTCTGAGGGGACACTGCGTGAGGAAGAGGCCTTCCTTCCTGGCCCTGGTGTGCGTGCCCTGGAGGCCCCATGGTGCACCGAGCAGTCCCAGGCCCCCACTGCACTCGAACTCCATCACACCCCCTTCCCCACAGACCCCGGCCTCCACTCCACTCCACCCGCATCACGGCCCATTCCTGAGAGATGCTGGCCCCCACTCCACTCAGACTCCATCACACCCCCTTCCCCACAGACCCTGGCCTCCACTCCACTCCACCTGTGTCACAGCCCATTCCTGAGAGACCCCGGCCCCCACTCCACTCAAACTCCATCACACCTCTTCCCCACAGATCCCGACCTCCACTCTACTCCACCCGCGTCACGGCCCATTCCTGAGACACACTGGCCCCCACTCCACTGTGGGAGCTCATGAAGGGGCCCTGGTGGCAAGGACCAAGAGGTCAGAGGTTCGAAGCCACCAGCGGCTCCACAGGGGACATGCTATGGGGGCTCTTCTCTGTCACACGGGGTCCCTGTGGGTTGGAACTGACTGGATGGCCATGGTACTGCTTTGTTCAGGGGAGAATGACGGGAGCCCTGGTGGCACGGCTGATAAGCACTTGGCTGCCGACCGAAAGGCTGGCGGTTTGAGCCCACCCAGCGGCTCTGCAGGAGAAAGACCTGCCCATCTGCCCCCGTAAAGACGGCAGGGCAGGCAACCCCGTGCAGCAGTCCCGTGCTGTCTCACAGCCGTGCTTGGGCTGTAATCAACTCCATGGCACACAGCAGAGCTGGAAAGCTGGGTGCAAACACTGTCCATGTGGGGAGCATGTGGAAACCCCAGCACTTATGTAAGCTTGGGCCTGGGCCTCACTCATGGGCCATGGAGCACGTTGCCACGCGGGGTGACAGTGGTCCTACGTAGGCTGCTCTGGCAAACATGGGATGAAGCGGAAGGTCTTGACACGGACGCAGAGTGACCAGTGGGACTCTACCCTAGGGGAGCGACAGGCGCTGGGTGACTGTGTACGGGTCAGAAATGTAAGGGGGCACCGTTGAGAGGCAATTACACACCGACCTCAAGGCAGATCCTACCACAGATGGGCTTCAAGACCAGGTCTGCAGTAGGGCCTGTGAGATCAAAACCTGTCAGAGAAAGAAAGTGCAATTACTTCCCACTAAAACGAGCGATCAAAACTGGTCAGACGACACCCTGTCAACGGGAAAACTTCAAGGCCACAAAACAAGGCCTCTGGCCGAGTCCTGGCTCCCACAGGTTTAACTGCACTTCCACCTGCACTGGAAGTTTGTGGCGCCTGTTTCCTTCCTGAAGTCAACCTCCCAGGTCCGTGCCTAGCTTAGTTCTCCAGATGTGACAAACTAAAAAACCGAATCGCAAAATCTTAACTCCCTCACTCGGCTACATCTTCTGCCAATGGAATAAACACCATTTTTAGAAGGGCCACGAGGTCACACAATATTAAAACATCTTGACCCCAAGTCTTAGGGAACTTGGTGGTCTCCTTGAGTGACCACTGAGCTGTTTGGAGCCAACCGGTTAGTGTCTAGAAAAAGTGAAGAGAGAGTGCTCACGCTAGCCCTGCACCCTGAATGGAACCCACGTGGTCATAAAACCTGGAGCACCCAGAAGGCAGTGGAAATGCAATGTGATGGAAAGTGCTGGTAAACCAGCAAGCCCCACGCTTCATCTGCAGAGAGGCTCTGTGCACCCGCGTGGGTCCCACGTCCCCAGGTCACTGCCTTTGTCCTGTGAAGGCAGCTGACCCCGTGCCATGTAGAAAAGGCCCCGTTGGGTGGCAGCCTGGCTGAGCTCAAATCATCTAATACAACAGATTCAAACAAACGTATGAGTCCTTTCTTCCCAGAATGCTGAAAAATCTAAATTTCGCTTCAAAGA